ATTGTAAGATAATAAAAATATTTTAAACAATTCGTTTTCTTAGCAGTCACCACGCTCAAAAAGTGTAACTTGAATTAATATCAAAGAAAAAACTTGAATTAATATCAAAGAAAAAACTTGAATTAATATCAAAGAAAAAAAATACTGCATAAATAATTATAAGTGCATAAGTTGATAAAAAATGCTATGCAATAGCTTTAACGCGGCAGTCAATCTTTCTTTGCAATGAAATTTTAACTGGTCGCTCACAAGACTGTCCAAAAGTTTAAGGAGAGACAATTGATTGCAAACACTAAGATATTTTGTTATGTCTTGCTTGTTTTCTGTTTAAATTTAAGTGGGCTTCCATAAAGAAGGTACATGAGTCTCCAGAGATGATTTAAAATGGAGATAAATAGGATGTGTTAATGAATAAATACTTTTTTTTTTAAATAATCGGGAAAGCCATCTGGTTCACAGCTAAGCCTATCAGGTAAAGTTAAGATTTTATTAAAAATACTTTCAACTGACACTGAAAATGTTGGTATATTATGATAAACATTTCTGTTACTAGAATTAGTTTCATAATCAATTGAAATTTCATGTGAGTAAATTGTAGAGAAGAAATCAGCAGGTTCACGAAAACCTAAATTAAATTCTATCCAAGCAGAAATGCCTTATATGTTTCCAAAATATTAAAAATTAAACATAATAATTAGCCGTATCTGAATACCGAAGGAAATAACTTTGAACATAATTTTCTCAGTTTGATGCTCTCAGTAAATATGGCATCTGTTTTTAGGATGGCAGTAAAAACTAAATCAATAGTACATATATATCGATATCCTTTTGCCAGACTAACATAAGTGTCATTTGTTCTAATGGCACTTACAATAGTCTAGGTTCTTTCGTTCGCTGTTGGTGCAATCTCCACCAGTGTAAATTACACCAGTTACACCACCTTTATTTACCTAGCGTACTTCCTTCTGATTCCTGATACATATGTCGAGTTTAATTCAGTCCTGCTAAATAGCTGGTGGAGAAAATATCCACCAGTGGACACCACAACACCGACAGGAAGGTGTAGGGGATTTTACACCGCGCCAAACGAAAGGTATGGTGTCCATTAGTGTAGTGAAACCAGTGGGGGGAACGAAAGAACCTGCTGGCTATCAATTTGAATGACACTACATTTAAGACTATGGATAATTTTTCATACTTAAAATATACTTTATAAAAGACTTACTCCAGGGATCAAATCGTATAACTTCTAGTTTTTCTCCCAATCTTTCCCTAATTTTGTTAAAAGTATGACCACTGACCATACTTTCCATTTGGACCATTACGTGTCTAAAATAAACCTGTTCAGTGTATGAAGAGATCAATTTGGTGAATTATACTTACTTGCTCTTTACTTTTTTTAATAAAACATTCGTTATGAACATTTTGCTTTAAATAAAAAAACTGACGTTAGAAGTTTGGATTTAAACCTAACCTAACTCTTTGAATTTTTGAATATAGATTGGTAAAATCGGCGTTGCCAAATGAATCATTGTGAAGTTCTAGACTTCAATTTATAAAATTCAAGAGACGCTAAAATTGGTGGTCCCCACACCTTATCGAGACGGATGTCCCAACGGGCAAAGAAAAGAGAAACGAATGATTTTGATCGAAAGACCAGCAGTATTAAGACGTTAATTTTAAGGTTTGTGAAGTATTAGCGTAATACTAAACCACCCGCCGTGTAGATGATCTTCACTAGCCCTGATTGTTTTTAAGAATCATTCCTTATCTATCGCCTTTGAATTCAGGTTTACAAATTGTTTGAACAATTTATGTACAAATATTTTATCCCTTTACCTCTACATATTAGGCAAGCTCAGAGGGGGGGCTATGGGGGCCATACCTCCCCCCGAGATGAAAATTCTTACGATTTATAAGCCTTTTATTCAAAAAAATATGCTAAAAAAAATGGCTAAAGGCAATGCCCCCCACCGAAAATTCGTCTCGAGCCTGTGGCTCAGGTAATATATTTTTCTATGGGTAATAAATTTGAGCCTCTTACCCCTTAATTAAGTCTGTTTATCTAAAAATCTTTGGTCCCTTTTTAATCCTTCAGCCTGCCCATGTAAAATTATTCAGTCCCTTTTTCCCTTTTAAGCCTGCCCATGTATAAATTTTTGGTCCCTTTAAGCCTATCATTCATGGGAATATTTATCTTTTTTGGTTCTAATATCAAATTCAGTTAGGAGTTCCATTCTAGAGTTGTTGAAGGACGTTTTTACCACCCACCTTTCTACCTACGAAAAGCCTTTCCAACTTCTGTCCCAAAATCAAGAAATCTGACTATGAGTTATGAGTTTCAATCAAGATGTGGCTGGTTCTAGGTTTGTTTTTTATAATATGCCTTATTTGTTATTTTGCATAATTTTTAAAGTGATAAAAACGCTAACTCCTTTTACCAACATTTTCATAGAATGATATACGTAAAATAATATTAGATATACAAAAAAAATAGTTAATTATAACCAGAATGAAGATATATAATAATCCAGGAAGGCGATAGGTGTATACACACTGAGTAAAAGCTGTATGTCACAATACTAAATTAAGTACTATATAAATTAATGCATTTTTTAAGTACTAAAAAAATTCACGTTGCAAACAGCAAACTTAGTACTTAAAAAATTAATTAATTAATTAGAACTTGTTTTATTTTCTACTAAATTTAGGTCTAAAAGTGCGTCGAAACATCGTCAAAATGTTTCACAGACGTTTTTCACAGAAAAAGTTGACACCACGGTATTTTCTGTACCATTTTGTTTTTGGTTAGCGACAATTTTGCATTATCGCCTTGAATAAAGTTTGCTGATTTTATAGGTTTTACTGTGTTTTTTTTTTCGTGGTTTTTAGTAGCATTGCTGTATTTGGTTGTTGTCAAGTCAACTAGTGTCAAATCAAATTGGTAATAAAAACACACCATTTACTTCACTTGTCTATTTTATTTACTTACACAGAATATTTCAATTCTCTGCTAATTTCACGTATTAATACGTCAATGCGCGTGCGCCTATAGTTAATTTAGTACTAAAAATTGGTATCGTTGCAAACGGAAAAAATATTTTTAGTTCTAAATTTAGTACTAAATTAATCACTTAATTTAGTGCTAAATTTAGTATCGTGATATACATCCTTAATTCAGAAATGAAACTAGTGGGTATTTTAAGTGTGTAAACTGAGATTGTCTTAATATAATTCCATCTTTAATTAAAAATTAGTCTAGCGTTTTCGGCTTATTAAATAAACATAAAAATCCTTCGATTATATATTTTTTAATTTCGACATTGGCTGGGATGTTGAGTATTATATTGGCATCGCCTTTTATGTTTAAAAATTGTTCTTTGTGGATCCACTTAAATTCTAAGACGAAGTCCTGATTCCTGATGATGGCCTAATAAGCTGAAAGCGCTAGACTAATTTTTAATTAAAGGCGGGATTATATTACACCCTTAAAATTCCCACAAGTTTCATTTCCGAATATACAATACCTAATGTTTAAAGTTCATGATATACTATAAAAAGAAGGTATGATATTACGCAGATTGATATATCGATGGCTTAATTTTAACACCTCTTAACCCACGAAGAGTAAATTTTACAATAGAGGCAATAATACACAAATACCGGTATGCTATTTATAATTCGACCGAATTTCTCACTTTCGGCACATGACGTAACGTGGCATAAAGCAAACAGCATTTGAGTGACGTTTTAAAAATAATTATTTTTTAATACAGTTTTATTTCTAATTATAAAGATATAATGATACGCGTTCATTTTTTTGAATTTTTAATATTAAAGAGTTAAAAGTATTTTGATTGTGTACTGTCAATTTTTGAAGTACCTATTTAAAGAGTTTAAAGTGTTTTTGAGTTTGTGTTTCCCATTTTTGAATGTTTTAGGGTTTAAATTAAAGTGTGAAGATTTCTTCAGTGATTTTATTGTGACAATAAAAAAAACTATAAAATGTCTAATTATTGTGCTGTGGTTACTTGTAAAAATTACAAAGGGAATGGACATTATAGTCTAAGATCCGAAGTAAGGTCGACCTTCACACATCTGTTTAATGTATGAAAGTTTTTTTTATTAAATAAAATGTTCATAAATATACCGCACATGGGTTGCCTAAGAAAATACGGTCTAAACTATCTATTTTCTAAAATTAAAAAAACGACAACCTTTAAAGTATTCCCCAGATGCTTCGACTATGCACAAACTTTAATCAGCTCACCGCAGGGTGGATTAAAACAAATTTAAATTTGGTATTTTTCTCTCCAACCGTTTTTGAGTTATCTTCAAATAAATTCGAAATTTGCACTTTTCCTCAAATATCTCGAATTAGGTCCATTTTAGGGAATTCTTGTATAGGGACAAAATAATAGAGAATGACATCATAAGTAACTTTTATAATGATTCCTATACTTTTCTTATTTATACACAGAAAGAAAAGTAAAAAATTGCCTTGACCGTATTTTCTTAGGCAACCCATTTGCGGTATATTTAAAAACATATTTTATTTATATATAAAAAAAACTTTTATCCATTAAACAGATGGATGAAGGTCGACCTTACTTACGGATCCTGGACTATTAAATATTTTCGATGTCCATAAAATGATGATATCTGGCTAAGCAGTGGGTTGCGCAGCATGTCTCCGAGAAGGAACAATAAACTTAATAAAAAACAGTAAGTTTATTAATATTCAGTGTCAATGGTCATGTAAACTGCTGATTCGGTTGCATAAACATAAATTTCATGTACATATATATTATGACTAGATGTTTTTTTTTGCAGATCGTATTTGCCCTGTACCCTTCGAAGTCTCCTGTTTCAAAGTGTCTCTGCAGCAGAGATTGTTGGGATTGATGAAAAGGATTTAGTACAAAACTTTTTAAATTTGGATCAGTATCAAAAATTTTGGTTTTTCGAAAGTAAACCAATAAAACTCTTCACATACTACTGTGTGAAGAGTATATAAAAGGATATCTACGTTGACAAAGTATGGTCGTGAAAAAAATACTTTATTTACTACAAATGTTGACATGTTTGATTTTTTAAACGTTTAAAAGCGACTCTTTAATTTACTGTGTTACCCTCTCGACAATAAAAAATAATCAAGCATTCCAGTACCTTCAGTATTATTAATGCTACTGATTTTTCAAAGACAAATAAATTTGATATAATAGAAAAAACAAATTATTGAAAAATCTCGACATGTTACGATAGTATGAAAGATTTGGCATCATTGTGAAGAACAATTTTCTTCTATTTAATGGACAATGAACCACAAAAAATAAGTTATGCAGCAACCAACGACACGTTGTTACATTGACGTTTACAAATTGGAGGTTATGTTATGAAAAGAAGGCATTTGAAAAGTTGGGTGACATAAATTATTTCCCTTTATTATTTAATACATTTACAAGTAATAAGCATATAAATATTTTAAGTAGTAAGTACGTATATTCCACTTGTAAAAAATACTATTTTCTTTATTAAAATGCTAACATATGTACTTTTAGAACCTAAATAGACATGGCCCAACTAATCGAAAGTATTTTAAAATATATATCGGATAACGGCGATGTTAATACTTTAAAACTAGCTAAAGAATTTAACGAAGACCATCAAAAAATTATTGGATCTTTAAAAAGTATCCAAGCACATGGGGAATTGGTTATAGCTGATGCCGTTAGTGAGAAAAAAATCGAACTTACTGAAGAGGGAAAGCTTGTAGTAGAAAATGGTAAATTATTTTAATTATAAATTAATACATATAGTAGAATTTCCATATTTCTAGGAAGCCACGAGTTTAATATTTATAATGCAGTTCTTGAAAATGGTACACCACAATCAGATTTGATGAAATTACCAAACGCTAAAGTAGGTTTCAGTAAAGCAATGTCAGCTGGTTGGGTAGCAGTAGATAAAAGTGTAAATCCACCCTTAGTGAAAAGAAAAGTGTCGGATATTGAAGATTTAGTACAATTACATCTTAAACAATTTGAATCTGGTGATAGTTCTAAGATTTCTGATAAAGAAAAACAGGAATATAAGAAGCGAAAGCTAATACAGGAGGTTGTAATTAAAAGTTATGATTTAAAAAAAGGACCTGAATTTAGTTTAACACTGACAAAACTCGAAACAGATGTTACAACAGAAATGTTAAATTCCGGTTCCTGGAAAAATCTAAAATTCAAAGATTACAATTTCGATGCTTTAGGCGCCCCTTTGGAATGCGGCTATCTTCATCCTTTGCTCAAAGTCAGGTCAGAATTCAGGCAGATTTTCTTAGAAATGGGTTTTTCTGAAATGCCTACCAACAATTACATTGAAAATTCTTTCTGGAATTTCGATGCCCTCTTCCAGCCTCAGCAGCACCCAGCCAGGGATGCCCATGATACTTTCTTCATTTCTGACCCAGCTAGTAGCTCTAAATTCCCCCAGGATTATATGGAGAGGGTTAAGAAGATTCACAGCAAGGGAGGATATGGTTCACAAGGGTGAGTAACAATATTTTTGCTAGAATAATGTTACTAATTTTTTTTATTTATTGAGAGGAGAACCCCATTATATTCTTAAAATATATTAAATACTTATAAACTGTGTATGTATATTATAAGACTAATTTAAAATTAAAAATATATGTATATCAAAATTTGCACTATATCTTACACTGGCATTTCTTTTATTTTCTATTTATACTAATTTTTTATTTATTTCTTGAATATCTTTAATAAGTTTCTGTTCATCCACTCTAGACAAGTCAAATTCCCTCTTCTCAACTTCTTCAGATTGTTCCTCCATGTGTTTAATTCTGTTTTGCCCTTCATAAATTTCAAATTTAAAATTATCAGTGCCATTACAATTAAATATTAAAAAGCTTACAATTAGTTAATAAGATTAAAATAAACATTTGATAAATCTTTTAAGTATGTCTGTTTTATTATTCACAGAGTTAATATATTTTTTAATATGTATCATCTCAAAGATTGTTCTTTTGTTGAAATTTGGTTCCTTTTCGAGAATTCATTTTCAAAATCGAAAGAGTGCAAATTTTCTAACTCATGTTTAGTTAAGGCAGTGAAATTTTCATTATTAGTTGCGATATTATTTTTATGTTTTTTTATTCTTTTATGTATTGTTTTGTTTGTCCAATGTAAGTGAAATTGCAGTCTTTGCAGTCAATTTTATAAACAACATTTTTTGATTGATTTATTTTACTAATTTTGAGCTTAAACTAAAACGTTATTCTCATGAATGTGAACCTGAGATGTGAACAGATTGAAAGCAAATATTCGCCATACAGACATTTTTCAGTCTATTAGTGGTAAAATTAAACTAGTTTTTGTGAAAATTATACCTAATAATTCCGTAAAGTGCAAGCTATGTAGTGATATACCTACAATTCAAGTTGATTAAATACATCTGTAAATGTGTTTTTGATTATTAATTGCAGAATAAAGGATCGCAAAATACTAAAAAACCTTCTGTATCACAAAACAAAAAAAAAAAACAAAAAAAAGATAAGAATAAAACTGGTCGGCAAAGACATTATTTAGAACTCCATCCAGTGGCGTGCTGTTTCATCAATTATTAAAATAAATAAAAACTTCTTATAATGGGCGATGCAATCTGCAAAAATAAAATTAGTATTTTGTGACTGTTCCAAAGAGTTCTTTCACTATAACAACGTCAAACAAAAAAATTGTTCAGGAATCACTGTGACTGAATACAGAGCACTAATATTAGTTCAACTCAATTGAACTCTCTTCTTCTGCAGAGAATGCCGGGATGGTCTGAAAAGCAAGCCCATGCTTGTAAAAGAAATCAATACAATGAAAAAGGACATCACTTTTCTGAAGGAGAAAATAAATACTTTAAAAAAGGCCAAGTTAGAAATCGATAATGAATTTGGATCCCCAAAGAACAAGAAACCCACACTGTCATCGTCAAACTTAAATGATCTTCCTAATATAAATGAAGTCATAGCAGAACTGATTGATAGGGAAAATCGTAAGAAAAATATTATGATCTTTAGTCTACCAGAAGATCAAAACCTTCAAAAAGAAAAGGACAATTGTATGGAACTTTTAAAGTATTTAAACCCAGGATTGTCAACCACTCCTAAGATATTTAGAATCGGCAAGTATGATCACCAAAACGTTTATGCCAATGAAAGTAATTTTTGAGTCACTTGAAGATAGTTTAAAAATTTAAGAAAATGTAAAAATTTTAAGAAAAGGTAAAAATTTAAACCTAAATATAAAATTCCAAAACGCTTTTCTTACTAACGATAAAACACCAACAAATGAATCAATTAAAGTTATCAATAGAGGAACTTAAACAACGAACTGAAAACGGAAAGAGTCTGAAAATTAAACACGATAATGGCGAACCAAAAATAATAAAAAAACTAAATACAATGTCCAAGCAGAAACAACTTAACTATATTTACTGTTATTTCCAAATCGCAAGAGGGCTCAACTCTAAAAGCCATGATTTTTACATGTCATCTGTCACCTGTGACTATCAAATTGTTGCTATAACAGAGATATGGTTGGAACTAGACTTTTACAATAGTGATCTTTTTCATACCAACTTCATAGTATTTAAAAGGGACAGGGACCTAATTTCAACAAACCACAAAAGGAGGAGGGGTAATCCTAGCTATTAGAAATGATTGTATAGCAACAGGTTGACCTTTCTCAATACTATGTGGATTTTGGTAGTATAGATGTTGTAGGATGTCGCATTATGTTTGAACATATTAATTTATTTGTTTTTATAATATAAATGCTGGATTCCAATAATGCCAATTTAAAAAAAAATTTCAAACATATAATAGGGTGATCTTTTTGGGAGATTTCAACCAACATATGTTCAACAATCCACAATTTGTCAATAAAACCAAACATTTAATATACTTAAACAACTTTATAAGTTTCTATGATTTTGAACAATCTAATTATATATTTAATAAAAATGATCGTATCTTAGATTTAGTTTTATCAAATATTGAATGCCATGTACTTCATGATACTCAACCTTTTGTAGAAGAAGACGGTTATCATCCCGCACTAAGAATCGAAGCTTGCCCTCTAAAATCTGTGACAAGTCTCCTGATTCACCTACAGTGCTTCAGCGAGTCTGTGGCGCTATGAATGTAATTCCCGAATAGGGGTTGCTCAGGCGCCAGTTTTGATATCGCAGTTTGCTCTGCGGCCCTGGGGTGCACGTAGAGTACACCCTCAGTAGACTCAGTGGAGTCCAGGTACAAACAAAAAAAAAAATGAAACGGATAGACCTTCGCTGTTAAGTTGACCTACACTGGGGTAGTAAAGTAAATAAAGTTTTTCACTGCACTTTTACCTATTAATCACTACGCCCTGAAAACGGAAAAAGCAAAGGCGTAATTCAAAATTAAACTCAGGAATTTCAATCAAAAATATATTTACAAAATAAATGAAATAAATAATAATTAAAAATAAAATAAACGGGATGAAATCGGTATATATTTATCTGTTTAATAACGGTAATAAAATAAATGTAGAATTATGTATGTTGATAAAATAAAAGGTCTCGGTATTTACAGAAAATGATAAAACGGTAAAATTAACTATGACCTATACTATACCCATAAGAAAATAAAAATAACAATTTTCCCTTTAAAAAAATTAAAACGGTGGGCACTAATACCCTTAGCACAAATTCCTTGCTATTAATGAAAACGGCCGGCTTTAGCCATAAGAAAAAAATCTACAATAATAAAACTAAATATGATTCAAACTATACGTTTTAAAAATAAAAAAAATTAATAAGCTACTCTCAGTAATAAAAAATATCGGTAATCGGCCAATGGTGGTGAACAGTATCACCCTCCACTCATGAGAGAAAAAAAAATGACGGATGCCTTTGTAAAAAACGACGCCTAATATCCTCCCCGCAATATTATTTTACTAGGCACAATAGACCAAATAACGGGTGTCTTAACGCGGTATTATTCGACCAATACTTTGAGAATTTTTATTTTATTTACTCGGCCTCAAGTTTCTCTTATGTGGAGATCTGGGAATCCATAGCTTCTACAGAACAGAAACGGCTGCGACTCTCGACAGGGATAGCAAGCGAATACCACTATCATCCCTTGGTTAACACGAAAATGGTTGAAGGGCACTAACGCCCCGGATTTAAATACAATTCGTTACCCTGACAGGCACTAAGAAATCAAAAATATCGGTAGAATAGCTCATGTAATTAATAGTACGGAAGTGAATGTTACAGGGAGAATTATTAGACGGAATTTTAAATAAAAAGGCCTACCTTAATTAACTTTTCACCAAAATCGCTTTGCGGTATAATCGGCACTACAGCAAGGCAACTTTTTACTCTCCAACTCACGGTAACAGCAGGAAAAGAGGTCTCCTTCATCGCAAACATCTAGTTTTATCAGAATTCGTACTTTTGCCGGAGTGGGGCGGTAGCCCCACCTAGAGGAAATAAATTGTTATTGCAAAAAAAAACGTTAATTGATCAGCTTACTGATAAAATCTACTACTATTGCAATTTTACGAGACGATTTACATTATTGTGATATTGAAAAGTTTTAAACTACGAGGGCTCTTGTAAAGATTTAAAAACGGTAATTCTATGGAAACATTAGTTACAGGGGGTCTTGAAAATGTTCATAGACGGAAATTAATTTTAGAAATTAATTTATGGAATAAATTAATGGGAATTTTAGTGACTTCGTCACATCACCTCCTTTCTTTCTAAAGAAAATAAAAATAAGACGCAGTATTATCTTTATTTTCTTACACTGGAACACGGACGGGTGACAAAAGTCAGTTATACAGTGATGTATCCGGTGGCATCTGGAGGCAGCTGGCGGCACCTGGACTCGGTATATAAAAAAAAACAAACGGACGGAAGATCAACCAAAATTCAATCGTAGTGGCGGCGTTTGTACTGCAACGGTACGTTGTGACGGAGGGGTATCGGTCTGAACCGAAACCGTGCGGACAGTGACGGCGGATGGCATTTGCATCACGGAGACGGCGGGATGGACGAGGGAGAAACGGGCGGGGCACGATGGGGACAAGGTCTGATGCGTCGGGACAAGGGAATCAGACGGGGCAATTCTTCCATCTCTCGGCTAGAACAATACAAGCCATTAATCGAGTCGTTTAAGACGGGTTTCTACGGGAGACGGGAATCAGGAATGGGAATGGAAGCAATAACGGAAACGGGAATGGTTACCTAAACGGATTTCAGGGTTGACGTCTTAATGGACACGGACGGTCGTTCCCTGGCTATGAGAAAAAAAAAACAAAACAAAACGCTTAATCAACGCGTTCCGATGCGGATTTTAGGTCCTTGATATGAACTTTGTTGATTCGCTTACCGGCGGCATCCCTCAGGTTGTAAACTACGGGTGAAATTACTTTAGTGACGGTGTAGGGGCCGGAAAACTTAGGAGCAAGTTTCGCCGCTACATGATCGGCGGCGGAAGACAGGGTATGCTCCCGCTTCATAACTAGGTCACCAATGGTACACCTCCAATCCCTACGACGAAGGTTATAATATTTGCTCTGGGAGGTGAACGCTCGTGACAAACTGAGCCTTGCCAACTCATAACACTCCTGTAACTTAGCCAGCCTCTGGATCTGACCTTCGGGTATGGGCTGTTGATCAAGAGGATCCGGAGGCGGTACGGCCGGGTCGGCGTCTCGACGGAGGGTTTTGGGTACGGATAGTTCACGTCCAAAGTTAAGAAAGGCGGGGGAGTAATTGATCGACTCGTGACGGGACGTATTAATCGCAAAACGGAGATCGGAAAGATGTTGATCCCAATCACGGTGATTTTGTTCACAGAACTGGGCTATCATAGTTTTAATGGTCCTATTGGCCCTTTCCACGGGATTCGCTTGTGGGGTGTAGGCCGGGGTGCTACGGTGACGGATCCCGAGTTCCTTCAGGACATTCTCGAAGAGTCGGCTGGTGTATTGTGTGCCATTATCAGTTATGACCTCCTTCGGGCATCCAAAGGTCGAAATTACGTCGTCATACAAGGCGGCACTCACTGTCTTAGCAGTGGCGGCACGGATGGCTCGGCATTGCACCCATTTAGTAAAACGGTCTTGGAACATGACAATGTAGGCGTTACCCTTCTTACTTCGGGGCAACGGGACGACTAGGTCGGTGCTAACAACTTCCCAGGGTGCGCGATTTGAAGAGGGTTGCATCTTCCCAGGTGTCTGTTGCTGGGAAGGCTTGTATCGTTGGCATTGTAAACAACCCCGGACATATTTAGTTATATCCCGGAACATACCCGGCCAGTAGTAACACTGGGCGATTCGGGCGATCGTCTTAGCGATGCCAGAGTGGCCAGCGGTGGGAGCATGATGGTTCTCTTCCAACACTCGAGTACGCTGCGGCGTCGGTACACACAGCTTCCAAGGATCGGATAGCTCGGGTTCCTTGTAGTCATTAATATCCCAAAAGTGGCGATATAATCGGCCTTCTCGTATGCTGTAATCTGGGAATTCGGCGGGGCTCTTTTCTACATCAGCTTTCTTTTGGTTATACCAATTACAGTTAACAGGGTCTATGACTGCGCATATTTCGGAGTCAGGAGGGGAGTCCTCGGTACGGGGTAACGGGTTTCGCGACAAGGCATCGGCAACTCGGTTCAGGGCCCCACGGCGGTACTTGATGTCGAAATCATATTGTTGCAAGAAGATACTCCATCTTGCAAGACGGCCGGACGGACTCACGATTGAATGCAACCACCTTAAGGATTGGTGATCGGTCAACACGGTGAAGTGATAACCTTCCAGGTAACCCCGCATCTTTTCTATTCCCCATACTATGGCAAGACACTCCTTTTCGGTCACCGAATAGTTTCTTTCGGCCGAGCTCAGCGTTCGGCTGGCATAGGCTACGACAAAATCGATTCCATCCTTTTTCTGTGTAAGAGCCACCCCTAGCCCATGGGCAGAAGCGTCGGTCTGTAAAATAAAGGGCACGGAAAAGTCGGGACAACTAAGGATCGGAGCCTCAGTTAAAATTGTCTTAAGTCTCGAGAATGCGGCCTGTTGTTCTTCTTGCCAGTTCCAACGGTTCGCTTTCTTCAGAAGTTTAGTAAGG